TTGATCCTCCTCGCTCAGCTTCCCAAATTGCTGAGATTACAGGCATGTACCACATAGTCTGGCTAAGCAATTTCTCAAAGGCAAAAATTGTATTCTTTTACTGATAGCTACTTTTAAGAAACAGATTAAAATGTTACCCTCTCTTAATGTTATGCCAGTGAAAGAAAGAACTTGTAACCTACCAAAGGGCATACACCCTTGATTCTAGATCCTCTGGGACCAAAGCCAGAATCTTTTCCACAACATTGGGCTGCCTCCAGTTTCAGACACTGATCAAACTGCTATTCCCTACAATGTTCCAAAGTTAGTTACAATTTGTGTTAACAACTTTGTCCTTTAAAATACAAAATATCTCCTGCTTCCATTCACACCATAGTCTAAAATAAAATCCTAGAAACTCAAACAGCATGGAGATCAAAGTCACAAAGATTAATCACCCACCTAATAATCAAATATCTGAATAACATCCTGGACCATCACTTTAAAGTGGCTGCAATTCTCACATTTTCCTGTCTGTATCTGTTGGGATTGTAGACAGGAAAAACAGAATTGGTTTCAATAACAGACTATAACATAAGAGTATAAGGTTATAAGAGAGCTTTCTGGCTAAAACCTATCAAATGTATGTGGATATAAAATGAGGCAGGAAAGCTAGACAATTTTGCCATTCTAAAATGCCTGTTCAAAAACCATAATGGGTTACTTTTCACCATTAGGTATAAATAACAAGGTATAAATAACAATCTATCAATATTCCACACAGTCTTAAAAAATCCTAACAGTGAAAAGCTGTACTAAGAATGAATCAATTTGGTAAGCAATATTAGAAAGTAAAAGGAAGAAACTTTCTAGTATATTTAATAATCCAACTTTTATTTACCCTTTTATTCTATTATTTGGCAATTTATATGATATTAGACTTTTCTTAAAAAAAATTTTTCTTAGTTGTTGATAGATCTTGATTTATTTATACGTGGTGCTGAGAATCGAACCTAGTGCCTCACACATGCCAGGCAAGTGCGCTACTGCTGAGCCACAGTCCCAGCCCGCTATTAGACTTTTATAAGTTCAGAACTACTGATTTTTCCTTCATCCTGAGGAGAAAATATGGAATACTTATCAGAAGTTAATTTTTTAATATTAAAAGAATTATTTTTTCAGACTAATGCCAGAGTTTTAAAAATTGATTTTAAAATTTCCTTGATAAAGAGTGTAATCATCAAACATACTTCAGCCGGATATTCAGCTAATCTCTCAAAGCACGATAAACCAATTTTAGATTATTGTGATATGCCCATGATAGGTTCGTTTTTTTCTTGTTGGTTTTTAATTTTTCTTTTTTATTTTTCATATTCCCATTTTTAAGAAGATTTACACTGGAAAGGGGAATAAGCAGTCAAGATGATTTTATCAGTTTCAATAAAATTAAGCTAGAACAAAGAAGAGTATAAATAGCTTTGAGAAGAGTGTATGAACTCAAAACTAACACATATTCAGCTTAGGTAAATCACTAGCAAACTGGCACACTGGCTTATGCCCATAATCCAAGTGACTTGGGAGGCTGAAGCAAGAAAATCATAAATTCATGGCCAGCCTCAGAAACTTAACAAGATCTTGTCTCAAAATAAAAAATAAAAAGGATTGGAGATGCGGTAAAGTGTCCCTGGGCTTAAACCCCAGTATATAAAAAAAAAAAATTCATAGTTTTCCCACAATTTGGTTGACTTTGCAGGATTTTGTTTTACCAAAAGTATTTAAATATACTTGTATATATTAAGTGGACTACATGCTTATTTTTTCCTGATCATGCAATACCAAAAAATAAACTGCATTTTTAAAAATATTTTTTTTAGTTGTAGCCTTTATTTATTTATTTTTATGTGGTGCTGAAGATTGAACCCAGCGCCTCACATGTGCTAGACGAGTACTCTACCATTGAGCCACAATTTATATTTGAGCCATATTTAAAATATGCAAATTGCATATTTTAACTTCCATTTGCATAGCACTTTATGATTTCTGAAGAGCTTACAGATATAGCTCATTCAAGGATGATAAAGTAGATTATGATCACTATGTAGATGTGAAATCAGAAACACATATTAAGCCACCTGCCCAACATCAAAAAATCAACTAAGCCAGGTGCAGTGGCACATGCCTGTAATCCCAGCAACTTGGGAGGCCCATGCAGGAGGATCGCCAGTCTCAGCAATTTAGTGAGGTTCTAAGCAACTTAGCCAGACTGTGTCTCAAAATTAAAAAATTAAAAGGGGTAGGTGGCTCAGTGGTTGAACATCCTGGATTCAATCTCTAGTACTAAGGGGGGGGGGGAAAACACCTAAAATGGAAAAGCTGAGTTTTTTTCAGCATGCATTCATTCAACAAATACAGAGTGCCAAAACTATAAGCTAGGTAGAGACAAAATCCCTGCTCTCTAGAAATTTATGTTTTAATGAAAGAGAGGCATAAAGAAGTTTACACGTGAAACAAAAAATTATTTCAGATAAATGCCATAAAGAGAACATGGTATCAGACAGTAAGTACAGAATGGCAAGATCAGAATGGTCTAAGGAGTAGCACCTGAAGAGCATATTGGCAAAGGAAAAAAACAAGTACAAGGTTCCACAGGCAGGAAGTTCTTGAATAGCAAAGCAGACAAATACTTGGAGTGGAGTTAGTTTTAGACACAGTGGCCCAATTACATGGAACCCCCAGGCCATTCTAAGAAGAGAATTTAAAATGCAATTGGAAATATATAGGCGAGACCTGATTTGTTTTCTAAAAAAAAAAAAATATTAACCTTCTGTATAAGGAATGAATTGTAAAATCATCAGGAAGAGGTACCTCTCAAGCTTCAAAAATACCCATAATGGTTTATTTCTTGGATAATATTCCTATAGAATGGATACATGGGTGCTTGTTACTTTTGAAACCGTATGTATTACCATAAATTTCTGTACCAAATTTCATAATTTTTTAAAAAGCAAATTTAAGATATGTAAGAGCAGAAGCAGAGAAATCAACTAAAATGCTGCTTAACCATCCAGAAATGAAGTGATGGTAACTTGTGTTAGGGTGGGAGCAGTAGGGGCAAAAGTAATGAAATTTAGAATATGCATTGGCATTACAGTCAATAGGGTCTTTCTGGATGTAGAGAAGAGGCAGAAACAGAAACCAAGGATGACCAGTACTTATCAATAAGGGGTAATTTTGCCCAAGGCATACAAGCAATGTCTGTATCTATTTCGGGTTGTCACAACTGGTGATAGGCCAAAGGGGGGCGCTGGCATCTGTAGGGAAAAGACAAGGAAGCTGCCAAACATACTAGAATATTAGAACAGTACAGCAAAACAAAGATTTTTCTGGTCTAAAATGCCAGTAGTGCTGAAGGTGAGAAATCCTCGTCTAGACTGATTCCAACTTCTTCCCATTCTAGCATATCCATACCTCTATCAAAAAAAAAATATATATATATACATATGAAATACATATGTACATATATATGTATACGTGTGTGTACAGAGAAGTTCTTACTTTCAATATCTAAATAAAACTAAAATATACATGAAATAAAGGTTGTTTGGGGGGGTAAATTATATAACTCTGGTAAATTATGTTGACCAGAAGGCCTAACTGGTATCTAATTAATAAAACATGAAAAAAAACAATTACTCATTAATAAATATTTGTTAGTCAGACAACTAAAAATATGAAGTTTCTGTTCAGCAATACACCCAACACTGCTTTTATAGTTTGTTGATATACTGTAGTCTAATACATTAACTGCTTTCCCAAATATAATTTCCACTTAAAAAAAAACAAAAAAAAACTTTTTTTTTGGTACTAGGGGTTGAGAACCACAGGCTTTTTGCCACTGGGTTACATTCCTATACCTTTTTATATTCTTAGATTAATTCACGGAAGACCAAAGTACCACAAAGTTGAAGAAGTTCATTTTACCTCATTTTGTTAACTAGAAGGAAGTTTGGGAAACAGAATAAGAAACCATTGTGGTACATTCAAGTGCGAACAGAATGACTTGTAAAATACCCTAACTTGTCTCTGGAACTACTGCTACTATTAATAAATAAAATATGCTTGCTAAGTTCTGAAAAGAAAAAATCTGAAATTATTTGGTAAATATATTAATATAAATTGCCCCTGCCCCCCCAAAATTCAATTAGTCCAGGGATGACAATCCGAACATGACCTTACATTTGAGTACACACAGATGAATGGGAAAAATAGTCTCAGAAGCCACAAAATCAATTCTGGGCAAGAAACGGATGTTAATTATAAGGACCTCAATAAAAATGGTCAGGGACCCACAACCTATATAATCAATTCTGATTAACACTGATTTTTATAAGTAATCGCGTTTTCAACAGATAGTCATTGTCAGCCTGCTCATTCACTAACTTAAAAAAACGTGGAAATCAGTTCGATAATTAATAGACTTCCAACCTCAGTTCATCCCCAGTTGTGATAAAACTCCAAAATCTTGACAGCCTAGAGGTAAATACAGGGACGTTTTACTACCCTGAAAATCATGCTGGGTTTCCACTAAGCCAGGCAGGCGTTTTCAGAAGCATAGCCGCACGGCGTCCGGGGCGCGCTTCTCTCAGGCGCTCTCCGGGCCGCGGTGCTCTCGAGACACTGCTGCGTTGTCGTCACGCCCCTCGGCGTCAAGCCCTTCCTCGCAGATACACAGAATAACCCCTGGCGGAAATTTTTCCGCACTACCTTCCAGAGGCAGCGGCTGGTAAGCAACAGTTACACTTTTTCCTTCAAGCTTTCTGCAACCCAAACCCAACGGCCGCCTCCGCGCCAGTTCTACCCACCAACCCGAAGGAACAATTACCCAGCCTCACCCCAACAACGCGCGGAAAGGAGGCGCCAAGATAAACCATATTCTCGCGAAACTTTAAACCCAGTTCTCGCGACGCTCTCTGCTGCTCCTTCTTTCTCAGCCCCACCCCCCACGGCAGCACGTCGCCTCAGAAACATCGCGGGATTTCCATCTTTCAGTCTCCGCCCCTTTACGGCACGATGGTCGCGCAAGAATGTGATAGAAGCTCGACGGTCGCCATTTTCTTCCTTTCTTAGCAGTTAGCTGAGAAGAGGTCTCTGTGAAGAAGCGGCAGCGGCTCTTGTAGTGTAGCCATGGCAGACTATTCAACAGTGCCTCCACCCTCCTCTGGGTCAGCTGGTGGTGGTGGTGGCGGCGGTGGTGGAGGAGGAGTTAACGATGCTTTCAAAGATGCGCTGCAGAGAGCCCGGCAGGTAAGTCTGGATCGCGCGGCGAGTTCCCGAAAGCCCACGGTAATTGGCCCGCTGACTGTGTAGGCCGCTATCTCTTCCAGCGTGAGGAAGAGGAAAGAGGTGCTCTTCCGGGCTGAAATTTGAGAAGATTCACGTTGTTCTACGTTGATAATAGCGACCGGAGACCAGAACTCAAGTTTTGTGTTCTTAGCGTTGGAACTCCAACGCATGGTACTCAGAGATGGCATTAAGTCTCGCCCAGTTCTGCAGTACTAGCACTTCCAACAAGTTAGCTCAGCCTCCCCTCCCTCTTACTTAGAACGAATGCCTTTTTTCATGGTATGAAGCGCGTGTAATTTTACACAATAGGATGGAAGGTTCTGGTAATTAGTTTGGGATAGGGCTAGGGTCCGTCTACAGGAGTCTCAGGTAGTAAGGGAAGGGATTTGTCATTAAAGCAGTCTTTTCAGCTTCCAGCTCTTTTGAGCTCTCCCTCCCAATTAAAGCAGCTTTCGGTAACGTTCACCTTCATTTCTACAAGGAAGCGATTCTAGAAAGCACCAAGCACCCTTCCTTTGGGCGGGATTTGTGTGTGAGTCCTTCCTCCTTTCTCAAAATGGCCTCAGGCCCATTATACCCGCGGTTTCAATTTGAATCTGCCTCTCTGTTCAGAGTCGTAAATTGACCAGACCTCTTTTTGTATTACGTAGGTGCGTACATTTGCCCTGAAGGCACTTCTTTCCCAGGCTAAAGCCATTTTAAAAAATCGTTTATGTGCTCCCGGAACCTGGAAGGTTACTTAACTTGAATGTTCTTTTTAGATGTCCCCTGATGCGCTTATGCTTTAAAATATGTGATATTGGTGCGGTGTAGTCTCTAATTAAGGTCGGAATATGTACTGGGTGCTAGGCATTTTAGACCAGTGTCAGGCAAACAGTAAGTGGAAACCAGTTTTGATGGTTAGGAGTTCACTTCATTAACTTTTTACCTACCAGCAGGATTGAGGCAAAAATCAAAATCTATAGTGAACAAAAGTTCATCATTAAAACTAGCTGTGCATTTTTTGAACTACAGAGTATTTTTTTAAAAAGCAGTTGAAACATTTATGTACCAAACAGAAACACTGTTAGCAAGTTTTAAATAAGATTGGGTTGGAAGACTTAGCAGTCTTTATTAAAACTAGTATTTTGTGCCACACTATTCATAGACATAGGGGTTTTTTGTTTTTGTTTTTTTTGCACTTGGTGCTGGGGATGGAACCTCACATGCCTGGGCAAGGTCCCTACCACTGAGCTATATCCTCAGCCAGAGACTGGAAATTATTTTAAGGTATGAATTGGATTCTCTCACTTTTTAGAATCTGTGATATAGTCCGAGAACCAAAGGCAAGTAACAGAATTTCTGCATTTAATGTTTTCGTTTATACGCCTATAGACAAAATATGGACACTTAATTCATCAGCTTGTTCTCATAAAGCATTTCTGCTGTGAGTCAGGAACTGTAAAGGAATACGGGATAAGGGGTTGTCCAAGGCATTGGAGAATGAGTTTGGGCAATAAAGAAAAAGCATCATGTGCAAAGGTATAAGGATTTTGGGAATGGCCAGAACCCAAGAGTGAAGTTTTTGGAACATAGTATTGAGTGGAGCAAGGAAGGTGGAAAGAGGTGAGAAAAATACAGATGGATCAGATGATAGACGTTGGGTTGCTAATAAGCTTGATTGTGGTAATAAGAAAATGGTGGTGTAATACTGCAGGTGTCCATCATATCTGACATTTCAGGTTTATGACTATGAACTCCCATAAGACCTTGCCAATAGTTGGTACTCAATACTTTCTGAATTAAATCAATGAATTAGAAATGTTGTGATCAAATTTTGTTTTGACAATAATATATTCTTTAAAAATGCATGTTATTAGCTATATCAGATCCTACGTCTACAGAAGTTGTATATCTTGTTGGTCTCCAGGCACATTTTTCACAAGTAGAATGCAACTATATTTGACCCAAATGCATTTTTTAAATCAAATATTTGTGGACCCTGCCTTAAATTTGAATCATATGTATGCTGATTTGTCATGATAACTAGCAATTTGTTGAGGCTATGCTACATATTAAACTCAGAGTTAAACATATCTTGTTGATTAATTTGATTTTTGCCATCTTGCCACAAGGTAGGTGTAGAGAGACTTTTTTACCATTTCATTATATGCAAATGTGGTAAATGACAGTTTTAGAAAGAAAATAAGATCAGTTCCATGTCTCCACCCAAAAACATAAGAGGCATGTAGTGGACTGAAAGTTGGCATTTAGATAGTTATCTTCTGAGAAATGGCTTTTTTAAAAAACTAAAATTGGGGCTCAGTGGTAGAGCACTTGCCTCGCAAGTGTGAGGCACTCGGTTTGATCCTCAGCACCACATAAACAGAATAAAGGTCTATCAACAACTAAAAAAAATTACTAATCTGTAGAGTTTCCTATCAACTTCAAAATTCTTGGATTTTAGGGATGGCCAGTGAAGAAGGTGGAAATGCTTAAAACATACATATATGTATGAAAGCAGAGTAGAGTAGGGTCCAAGTAGAAAGTTTGGATTATTCAATGTTATTATTAGTGCATTATAGCTATATATGATAGTGGAGTTCATTTTGATATGCACCTATGCATGGAATATAATTTGTTCCATTTCAATCCCTATGCTTCCACTTTCCCTACCCTCCTTCCTCTCACTGTTCCCCTTTACATACTGGTGATCTGCTTATTGTATGCTTGGATTATTTTTGTATATTTTCAAAGTAAGAAGTTCCCACACTTAATGTATAGAATTGAGTGTATCGGGAAGTTAGTTGGTTTTTAGGAATTCTATCTTTTAAATTAACCCTCTTTGTAATAACTTAGAAAATATATTTGATCAAATCTCTTAATATATACTAAAATCTTTAATGTCTTTGTATTTACTCTCAGTTTTTGAAATATTACTGGTTCTTTAAGCGAACTAAGTATCAACTTTCATTTTCATATGCATAGTTGTAGAACCATTCCATGATTAGAAATGTTTAGTAAATTATGTACAAGTAAGTATTCTTTCTGTGGAAGTTCCTTAAAGTTCAAGGTGAGTTGCTTTGCAAATTCAGAGCTTTGTAAATGCCATTTACTGTTTAAGTTCTTAAAGTGCTAAATGTTTTGAGACTGAAGGAGTTCAAGTATGATTAGGGAAACTTTGAGGAAGGAAATAAGATTAAATTGTATGCCCAAAGATGAAAGTAGGCTTCTTAGGGGGGAAAAAATGAAAAATGGATAAGGAAGTTTGCATTCATCAAAGCTTTAGAATCAGGGAAATCAAATTATGTGCATGCATTTTAATAATATGCCCTGTGTTGTAGGTATTTGCATTTATGGATGAGGAAAAGGTAAATCTAGGAAACCTGGAAAGATAGTTATTATGTGGAATACGATACATACTGGCTTTAAGTGATCCATATTTGATTTAAGACACCAATATCCTTGAATATACTCAGCCTCTCCAGTGTCCTAATTATACACAAATGTGAAGCAGTTGGTTTAGTTCTTTTAATCCCACATCAGGATCTCTTGGGAATTTCAGTCACCCAGCAGTTTTTTTTTTTTTTTTTTTAACATGGATGATTTCAGACACAAAGTTAAAATGATATAATAAACCCTCATAAGTTTCACACATCTTTAATGATGAGTATAATACAGAGTATTGTGGAGTTTGACCTTTGCCGGTAATAATAGTTCCATTTTTCTTTTCATAGAAGAATGCAATAAATGCCCATTGGCTGTGCCCTGTTTGTAACTTCAAGCTGGTATTTCTTATATGGAGTTGGTTTAGTCAAATAAAATTGTGTGCCCCATCACCACTTAACTGTTCTACCACTGAGCCAAATTCCCAGCCGTTTTGTTGTTGTTAAGATAGGATCTTGCTAAATTGCCTAGACTGGCCCCAGATTTGTAATCCTCCTGCCTCAGCCTTCTGAGTAACAGCAATTACAGGAATGCACTGGCTGTCCCACTCTTTGTGGGTGGCAGAGGATACTAGGGATTAAACCTAAGGCCTTGTACATGCTGGGTATGCACTGTACCCCAGCCCTTTTATTTTGAGACAGGATCTCATTAAGATGCCTTGAATTGAGATTCTCCTACCTCAGCCTCTCAAGTAGCTGGGATTACAGGCACACTGGTTGCCCCACTCTTAAAATTAACACTTATTTAAGATAATGGCTTTTTTGAGAGATTGAATCTAGGGGTACTTAACAACTAAGGCACGTCCTGAGCCATTTTTTATTTTGAGACAAAGTCTGACTAAGTTGCTTAAGGCCTAAATTGCCGGGGCTGGCTTTGAACCTGGGATCCTTCTGCCTTAGCCTCCTGGGCCACTGGGAGTGCACCATCATGAGGAAAGCCTTTTAAACAGAATTATGATTTTCTAGCTAAGATTTTCTTAGACTAGAGCTCCCTAGGCTCCAGCATTTACTCTTAGAATAACATTGTCTGGTGGAAATATAATGCAAGCTCTGTATTTTGTTTGACCCAACATACACAAAATATTATCCTTCCAATGTGTGTTTAACATAAACTTTTCAGATGTTTTATATTCTTCCATTAATTGCAGTTTTTCAGTATCCCAAGTGCATATTTTACACTTACAAAGCATGCCGGTTTGGACTGACCACAATTTAAGTACTCAGTAACCACATGTGTCTACTAACCATTTAATTAAGCACCATAGTACTACAGTCCTAGAAGTGGTCACATGCTCTGTGATCACAAACATCTTTAAAAGCCATGGGGAAAAACTGTGGAAAGATAGCATTAGGATCCATATTTTCTTCAAAACTAGTCTTTTTCCTTAACGATGACTGATTTCAGCTACTTTGTTAATTCTTATATGGATGTATTGGAAGCTTCATTTCAGACCATGATTGGTTGTTAACTCTGTGAAGTATTAATGATATTGATAAATTTGAACTATGGTTTTAGTTTGCCATTGTATCAAGTGACTTTGCTTTTGTGAGCTGAATAATTTATAGTAGTTTGTGTTGCTATCCTTGGTAATGGTGTGTTTTTGTTTTTTAAGATTGCAGCAAAAATTGGGGGTGATGCTGGTACATCATTAAATTCAAATGACTATGGTTATGGGGGACAAAAAAGACCTTTAGAAGATGGAGGTAAGTTATAGCCATAAGTAATTTTAATTGTTTCAGAAAGCATTTAGTTGAAATTATTTTCAATATTTGTTATGATTCCTAAAATTGTAAGGTTTATATTAGCTTCAAAAGTAAAGTGGGGAAAGGGAGACCTAGACAAGGTAGGTAAAATTTGATTCAACTAGAAAGTTTTGTCTTAGTAGAAAACAAGTTGATTTTTCCCTCTTAGCATTGTGCCAGATTGACAGTTTGCACAGACTTCTCATTAATACTGAAAACAAAACTATAAATAGTTTAGGAAACACTTTACTGTTTTTTTCTTATGTGAATGAATTTTTATATGCTGTATTTTCATCATTTTACTATTTCAGGTTTCATTTTACAGATTAAGGTTTCTGTAGTTTGCTACCCTGGTGTAACACTTTTATGTTATTTTGTGTTTCAGGTTTAATTTTAAATGTGGATTAAAACAGTGGATTTATAATTTTCTATTTTAAAAAAATAATTGTTGAAGCTTCTGAACTTAGAAATCTGTATATTTTTTGTTTTAGGGTTGATTATAAATTTTGATACACTTTCTTTGGCCCTTTTTTTTAAAGGAGGATTCTGACCAAGCCTATAGAATGTATTTGTAGCTTTGACCAGGAGTACTTGGTTTCCTCTTATTTAAGTGTCTTTCATATTTGTAGTGAGGTTTTTAATATTTAAAAAAAAAATGAGCTAATGATGCTTCAGATGTTGTATGTAATGTATTCTTTTTATTTTATGTGTAGATGGCTCTTGGACAAGTCCGAGCAGTACAACACACTGGGAGGGAATGCCCTCTCCTTTTAAAGGCAGGAATTTTTATTTATTACCTGTGTTTAGTATGTAAACGTGAAATAAACCAGTGGATTCTTAAATGGACACAAACTTTCTTTTGGATTGTGTCTGAATTTTTGCTGCACAACAATCTTTATTTTATGTTTAATCATTTAAATTTGAAGGGGGGAGGAGAAGATAATTCAATCAGCTATAGGTTGTCTGTTGTAAGGTATGCATTGTGTTCATCTCTAATGGATTTAGATAAAGATAGTCATGTAGCTGCTTTGAATTCTGAAGTTTTACACAGTGAAATGTTTACAGATAATAGAACAGTTTAGATTGAGATTGCCTTGTAATGTGATTTTTTTTCTTTTCCTTTTTGAATCTAGTTTTGTGGTCACTGTCAAATACACTCAACTTTGGATATATCAGATTTTTACATTTCGATAGCCCACCCTCCCCCCACCTGGTTTTTAGTACCTACAGTGGAAGCATCATTAGCCAATAGCATGTGATATTTTGCTAGTAATCAAGATACTTTGTCTTATATATCATTCTAAAGTGTCTTAACACATTAAGGTCAGTGATTTGATATAATGAAAGGTTTTTTTTATGATGTCTGTGCATTTTTTAAACACAAGGATAATGAAAGACTAGTTTTTCGTTAGATTATTGGGAGTAAGTTGAGGTTTGGCAATTTTGGTTCAAGTAATAAACCATTCTACCAGATTTTTAATAAATGTTTATAACTATGTACTCTTTGGCGGGAGGAGCTTTGTCCTTACTGGCAAAAATTGAAAGACTCTTAATTTTTCAGATCAACCAGATGCTAAGAAAGTTGCTCCTCAGAATGACTGTAAGTATTAATTTAAACTGGGTTTTAAAAGTACCTGAATTTTAATATTGAGGGCTTATTTCTATTTTTAGTGAGTTTTTTTGAAATTTGATTGGTCTTTTAGAATGTGAAACCTGAATTCCCTTGTAAATATATGCCTTTCCTTTATTTATATTTTATTCCTTTTAGCAGTCCTCATGGCCAGGCATATATAAAGATTGATTTCTAGGCTATTATAAATGTCATTTAACTGTTCTATTTCTTAATCTATGCTTGTATCACTTGGATAAGGAAAGTTTTGTGCTTTTTGTTAATATATTTGCCCTTTCACTGTCTTTCTCATCAATTGTCAATGTTGATTGAAATCATCTACATAAAATTGTATTCTCTCCAGAATGTTCTTGCATCAGGGGAAGTTTAGAATGTCTAATTTGATTGTTGTTAAATATATAAGTAAAAGTAAATTTTGAATTTTTATTTAATTTTTTGATAGCTTTTGGAACACAGTTACCACCGATGCATCAGCAACAAAGGTATAGTCAAAAGCTTTTTTAAAAGTATTTTGCAAGTGTGAATTGAACTATATATACAAACATAAGTTAATGTTTAGTGAATATATGTCAATATATTTTTTTGCATATGTAGTTTATTTCCTTCTATTTGGAAGACGACACAAAGGGATGGGGTCTTTTGTTTGTTTTGTTTGTTATTGAGAGAGATCCATTTGAGATTTGGCAAAACAGGTGGAATAGATTACATTTTAGAAGAGCTAAGGTGAATTAAAGTGACATTTCCTGAACTCTTCATCCTAACTCCTTTGCCATTCATGCCTTTAGACTATTCAGTTCACCATCTCTTCCTCATTTAATAGGTATCACTTTATTTAAGATTCTTAATTTAACTATACTACACAAAGAATAAGACCATATTTTGCCAAAATTATGTGCTTGGAACCTTAGTTTAAGCCATTAGGAAGCATTACACTTAAATTTAGATTACCTTTTATATATAAACATTATCTTTTCTTGAAGGAAATTTTTAGTTACTCTTATTTCTTAGCAGATCTGTAATGACAGAAGAATACAAAGTTCCAGATGGAATGGTTGGATTTAGTAAGTAACTTATGTTTAAGTTTTGAAAACATGAAGCATACTTTGTATTCTTTCGGCAAATAATTTATTTTTTTTTTAAACTAGTAATTGGGAGAGGAGGTGAACAGATCTCACGCATACAGCAAGAATCTGGATGCAAAATACAGATAGCTCCTGGTAATTATTTTCTTGGTATTTTCAAAGTGTATTATTTTTAAGCTGCTAGTTATAATGATGCAACTTGTTACTATTTTCTTGACCTAAAATTTTATTTTATTTGTAGACAGTGGTGGCCTTCCAGAAAGGTCTTGTATGTTAACTGGAACACCTGAATCTGTCCAGTAAGTATGAAAATCTTAAGTCTACTTAGAGTAATAACATGAAGACTCTGAACTTTGTCTTTGCTCTTAAACTGCTTCAACACCATTGTCTTCCTCTCCCCTTTCCTGAAATTTAACTCTTCAAAATTTATACCTCATGTCTTTCTTGATTAGGGTTCACTCTCTGAGCCATGGAACACAGAAAATGACTAAAACCAATTTTGTATCTACTGCAATCTCTACTTTGGGGCCTGGAGAAAAATACATACAACCACACTGACTGGTGTTACATAAAACTCATAACCATTAAGCTCAACTCAAGTAGATCCACTGCCCATTTCAAATCTTCAGCATCAAACCCCTTCTTTCCCACCGAAGTTCATTTAGCAAGAACATAGAAACAAAATATTAGGAAGTTTTCTACCTCATTTTTCCACTAAAACTTTAACAGTCTTCATTTCTACTCTATATGCACAGTACTCAGATACAGATCTTGCTTATCCTTACAATTCAACTGACTTTCTCCTACATCAGTAGTTTTTTCCTTTTTTAAGGTAATTTCTAATAACAGGTTGAAAGTCTATCCATCTTAACAAAACATCTTTGAAGCCTCACATTATATTTATCTGATTAGCAAAGGTCCCTTAAGAGTTGCTATGCTTAGGTTATCATTTATTCATTTTCATTTTCTCTTGAACTCATCATTCCAACCATTCTGCTGAAATTTCTTTTTCCAGCATTACAGTGTGCCACCATATCCTTCAGCCTGTCAGCAGTATTTGACACAGTGAACCTCCTTGAAATACTAGATTTATTTGATTTTTGAGGCACCAACTTATCTGATTTTTCTTAGTGGTTCTGCTTTGTCTTCTAGGCCTTAAAACATGGAAATGCCCTAAAAAATATATCAATGCATGCTCAATAGATGACTTCATTTAGTCTTTTAAATTACATGTGATAAATGAGTTTATATGCCATGAGTTTTATATTTTCCAACATTTTCAGTCCTTTTTCTAAATTATGTCTTCATTCTTTTTTGGTCAATGGATCTTTATTTTATTTATTGATAAGTGGTGCAGAGAATCGAATGTGTAATTCTTACACATTCTAGGCAAGTGCTCTTCCACTGAGCCAGAGCCACAGCCCCAACCCCAACATGTCTTCATTCTTGAGGCCTCCTTTATCTGTTTTGTATGTACACGTGCACATGCTTACATTCTTTTTGTCCTGCTTTGATTTGCTTTATAGCACCTAAGAAATGATGTTATTTATTTGATATATGCTATTTTTATGGATTTAAATGAAGTAAAGTCAGATTAAGTGAGCAGAATTGTGATTTTAAAGTGTAAATGGGCTGGGATGTATCTCAGTTTAGAGCTTCTGCTTTAATATGCCTTAGGCCTTTGGTTTAATCCCCAGCACCAAAGGAAATTCAATAATTTAATTTTTTGAGGAATCAGCTAAATTCTGAGATAACTTTAGAATTTGAGCACTTCTTGAAAACTTTTGGACTGTTCTCAAAAATAAGTCATATATCTAGAAATTTATTACATAGTGGTGACCCACTTGTGATTCCAGCCATGCAAACGGCTGAGGCAGAAACACTGGTTGCAAATTCAAGGCCAAACTGGGTACCTTAATGAAACAAAAATGGCCAGTTAGGGATGTAGCTCAGTAGTAGTGAAGGTGAAGGAAGTAAACAAAGAATCTAAGTTTTATTGCCAAGTCTCAATCTTGGCTCTTGGGCATTTTATAATTAAAAGTATAGTAAGTAACTTGAAGCATCTATTAGAATAGGATTACTTGATATATGATGTCTCTTTTTGGGTAAGCTTGGGTATGCTAAACTTCATTATTTTATATGAATTTAACAGATCGGCAAAACGGTTACTAGATCAGATTGTTGAAAAAGGAAGACCAGCTCCTGGATTTCATCATGGTGATGGACCTGGAAATGCGGTTCAAGAAATCATGATTCCAGCTAGCAAGGCAGGATTAGTTATTGGAAAGGGAGGAGAGACTATTAAACAACTTCAGGTATGATTATATTGTAAAACGTTAAAGCTTTTAATCTGTTTTGAAGCTAGTTTTTTTTTTCCTTTTCCTTTCCCCTTTTATTGACTCATAGAATTTTTATTATTTTAATAGGAACGGGCTGGAGTTAAAATGGTTATGATTCAAGATGGGCCTCAGAACACTGGTGCTGATAAGCCTCTTAGGATTACAGGCGACCCATACAAAGTTCAAGTAAACTTCACTTTATCCTTTATTAAGGGGTTGGATGGGTTTAGACACATGAAGAATTAAAATGTTTTAAGACCGGCTTTTTAAGTCATCTATGTTTTTCTACTTTAGCAAGCCAAGGAAATGGTGTTAGAATTAATTCGTGATCAAGGTGGTTTCAGAGAAGTTCGAAATGAGTACGGGTCAAGAATAGGAGGAAATGAAGGGATTGATGTAAGTAAAGAAACCAATCAGAAATGGTTGTATGGTAATATATAAATATAGTAGTGTTTTTCCTGTTTGGGGTTAGATAGCCTTCTTTAACATTTTATCCCTTTTTTACTTTATACTTTACCAGACTGTGTTCTGTATCTTATTACTGTACTGGATATATATTTGATATATATCCTGTTGTGATTTGATGCAGATTAATTCTGGGGAAATTTCTTTTTATATGTATACTTTGTTTTCTTTACATAAGGTTCCGATTCCAAGATTTGCTGTTGGCATTGTAATAGGAAGAAATGGAGAGATGATCAAAAAAATACAGAATGATGCTGGTGTTCGAATTCAGTTTAAGCCAGGTGAGTACATATATTTAATCTTTTAAGTATTGGTAACAGCTAGTTTGGGGGGGTTTGGGGTTTTTTTGGTGGTGCTAGGGATTGAACCCAGGGCCTTGTGCATGCAAGGAACAGCTAGTTTTGACATGCATTTAATGTTTAATTTCAATTTGTTTCAAAGATGATGGAACAACACCTGATAGAATAGCACAAATAACAGGACCCCCAGACCGATGTCAACATGCTGCAGAAATTATTACAGACCTTCTTCGAAGTGTTCAGGTTTGATAGAAAGTTAATATTTCATTTTGTTTGCATTGGAGAAGTATTTTCCTTTATATCTGAAAGTGCCCCTTATATTTTGTATTATAGTCCACTTGATATTACTTTATTAATCACTAGAAAGTGTAAACTGCTTTAAGGGAGTAACCTCTTGGAGCAGAATAAGTATCCTCCCTTATTCACCCAGTATAAAAAAAAGTTATTGTTTTTGTCAAATTATTTCTGAACTGGTCTCTAAATTTCTGGTTTGATAATAGAGAGTTGGAGAAAATAATTTTGTCATAGAAAAAAAATGTTCATTTCTATGCTGACTTCTTGTCTTTTCCCTCCTTAGGCTGGTAATCCTGGTGGACCTGGACCTGGTGGTCGAGGAAGAGGTAGAGGTCAAGGCAACTGGAACATGGGACCACCTGGTGGACTACAGGAATTTAATTTCATTGTGCCAACCGGGAAGACTGGATTAATAATAGGAAAAGGCAATGTATTAAAATTTTTTTAATATTTAACACACAACAGTTTTTCTGGATAGTATTTCTGATGCTTTAGTAAACAGGTAGCAGTAATTTTTCTCTTTGGCTAAATTTTAATAAAATTTCAATAAAATATGCTTATATTAATGTAATAATAAAACAAATGAAGTATTTTATGTATACTTACAGAAAAAGAGTAGGATTTGATATTAATTGGCTCCTATAGAGAGGGGGACCAGAAACTTATTGGTATAAGAAACTTGACTCATAGAGTGGTTTGGGGATATAGCCCAAACTCTCTTAGTAGAGTGCTTGCCTCGCGTGCATAAGGTCTTGGGTTCAATCCCTGGCACCACCACCCCCCAATTTTTTTTTTCCACAAAAAAAGTGGTTTGAGTGGGTTTCTTTCTTAGTTTACTTTGTTTTTTCCTGAACCACATATTGTTAAAAAGTTTTATGTGGGGATTGTGGCTCAGAGATAGAGCTCTAGCCTAACATGCATGAGGTACTGGGTTTGATCCTCAGCACCACGTAAATGTAAAATAAAGATATTGTGTTCACCCATAACTAATAAATAATAATTTTTTAAAAAGTTTTATGTTTAGAAATGTGTTAGTTTTTTTGCATTGGTAAGTTATTATACACATTAAAGAGTGTGTAATTTTAAGTGAACTTTAATACAGTTTTAAAACATGAAATGCTTCATGTAATTGAAATGTAGAATAAATGAAAATCCTACTAGAATATTGTCAGGGTAGTGCCCCCAAAATTTTTATGGCTATTTAATAGTGACCATTTTGTTTTGAATAGTATGTTTTATATCCTTTGAACCTAAAATTAATATCTTTTGATTTTAGGAGGTGAAACCATAAAAAGCATAAGCCAACAGTCTGGTGCAAGAATAGAACTTCAGAGAAATCCTCCACCTAATGCAGACCCTAATATGAAATTATTTACAATTCGTGGCACTCCACAGCAAATAGACTATGCTCGGCAACTCATAGAAGAAAAGATTGGTGTGAGTATGCTTTAAATTTCTAATTTATGTAAAGCATTAATTCAGATGCATCATAAGAAAGTGTACCGTTATACTAATTATACTAAAGTATAGGTTTCTTAATAGAAGGCTTCTGGCAATGGAAATAATTAATAAAATATACAGTTAAAGGTGCTTACCAACCACCTTATAGTTGAGTGTACTCAGATAAGAGATGTATTAGCTGCAGATACAGTGTTAGTTTTGGTGAAAAGTTGTGAAACATAGCTGAAGGGAGTTCGTAATGAAAATAAAGTGTTTATAAAGGTCCTAAGTATATACCCATGCCTGGTGAGGCAAAAAAAGATAAATTCAGTGGATCTCCCACTTCATATAACACAAGGTATAAATTCTGGGTTTTGGATTGGATCGCAATCATACAGGTTTTAGAATGAAGACTATTTGTATTTTTTTAATAAGTTCTATGGTATGGATAAGTGTATTCGTTCTAAAAATGAATAGTTCTGGACTCAGTAATAACAGAGGTTTAATGCCAAAGCAGAAAATGAATAGCACATTATAATTTTTTATTTTACTAACCTAGCAAGTGTGGGTCAAGATTTCTGTTGGATTCATGGAGAAATAGACACTTAGAGAACCTTTTTTGTATAATCAGTTTTTAAATTTTTTTAAGTTATAAAACTGATTATGACTTAACTACTTGGATTAAAAATCCCGTGACACATTAACTGTGTGGCCTGAAGAAATTATTCTGTGTCTCAGTTTCCTCCTATAAAATGAAGATAACAGTACCTAGTTCATAGACATGAAGAGATTAAAAATGAGTATGCTTCACTTAAAAATGCCTAGAACTTTGCCCTGTAAAATGTTTCCTTTTTTCTTTCTGTTAACTATTAATTGATGTGAGGGATGATGGCAATTAGAGGCAAGTTAATAAGGGGCTTAAAAGGTCATGAAACTGTTTCCCTGTTTCTTAGTGAGAAAATTAACCGAAGTAAATTAATACATGTCCAAAAAGTCTCATTTCTTGTTTTTTGTTTTTATATTTTAGTTGTAGCTGGATATAATACCTTTATTTTGTTTATTTCTTTTTATGCTGGGGATCGAACCCATGGCCTCACATATGCTGGGCAAGCTCTCTACCACTGAGCTACAACCCCAGCCCATGATGAGTTGGTATTAACTGAGAAAGGAGGGTTTTAGGCATTTAAATCAAATGTCTTTCCAAGTTGACTTGTCAACAAAAGAAATAAGTGGGCTGGGTTGTGGTTCAGTGGTAGAGCACTTGCCTATCATGTATGAGGGACTGGGTTCAATTCTCAGCACCACATATAAATAAAGGTCCGTCAGCATCTAAAAAAAATTTTTTTAAAGGGGAAGAAATTGGCTAAACTTTAATTATTATCTGGCACAATATGGATATAAAAATTCTGATTTATCAATTGTAAGTGGAATTTTCCTGCTATTTAGAAATGATATTTAAGAAGGAAAAAAGAATTATTGTTCTAAATGGGATTCCAGGTACAGAAATAAAAAGGTTATGTGGCAGATTTTAGTTTGAGAGAGAATTAGTAAACTTCATATGTAATTTTATTCACATTATAGAATTTAAACATTTGGGGGGGTATATCTCATCAGGATGGTTGTTGATTTAGGGGAGTAAAGATAGAGTAAATGCAGAAAAAAATGGGAATAATTATCTGAGAAGTGTTTGTGATTAATATGGTAAATCAAGTTGCAATGGAGATACAGAACTCTCTCAAAAGAATTGATTAGAAACTATATCAGTTCTTGAATTCATTTGTTAGTGCTATTTTTGTGAATTATGTCTCGATATGACAAGTACAAATATTTTGCAATAAGAATGAAGAAAGGAATAAAACTAAAATTTGTTACTGGTATATATAAGAGGACAGAACTGTAAGATTATTTGGCCTTTGTGTTATTTTGACCATCACTCTTTTTCTGAATGTTTTGTGTTATCTTGGTTTTATTTTGCAGGGCCCAGTAAATCCTTTAGGGCCCCCTGTACCCCATGGGCCCCATGGTGTCCCAGGCCCCCATGGGCCTCCTGGGCCTCCAGGGCCTGGAACTCCAATGGGACCATACAACCCTGCACCTTATAATCCTGGACCACCTGGCCCAGCTCCTCAGTAAGTACTACATTTGGTTCTGGACTTTTTCATAAAGATTTTAAGTTTTGGTAAATTGTATTTTTATATTGATTTTCTTTTCAGTGGTCCTCCAGCCCCATATGCTCCTCAGGGGTGGGGAAATGCATATCCACATTGGCAGCAACAGGCTCCTCCTGATCCAGGTAAAGGATAACATTATTTTTGTGTTATCTGTATCTGTCTACTATCCCTTGTTATATTAAGTTTTCTGTTTGACTTCACATTTGCATGCATTGTGTTCACTCTTTACAGAATATTAGGCATTGCTTCTACCACAGTGTATAAGACTGAAATGATTTCCGCTTTCATGAAACTTTTTGGGCTTTCTCTACTTCTAAATTGATAAGAGTGCTAACAGCCAAAAGCTACACAGAAAGAAATACAGTGGCTTTGATTTTAGATACCAGTGTATCAAATGTTTATGGTGTGTTAATTGTAATTTGTCCACAAAAAAATTTTTTAAAATTCCTGTTTATAAGATTATTTAAGGGTCTAATAAAGTGTTAAATACTTGAGCTTTCACTTCCCAGTTCTCAAATAAGCTTACATGAGCTGTCTGTGTTAGTATTCATGATAGGACAACTTAACATAATAATTGCATGCTGGAACTCTAATTATACTTATTTTCTCATTCAAATCTGGATTTTTTTTAATATGCATTCTTGTCTCTTGATTTTGCCATACCATATGGTTTGCATTTCATATTGGGCAAATAGGCATTCTTCAAAACCACATGTCATTTATAAATGATTTTTTTTTTTTTTTAACTGCTCTACCTACTTTTTGAACATTTTCCACTGGAGTAGTTTAAGAGAATGTATCCTGAATTATGGATTTCTTTATGCACAATGTATATTTATTGAAAGAAAAAAATTAACACAATTTATTAAAATGAAATTATTTAATTAAATTTGGTTAAGTATTTTTGTATTTAAATGTGCTCCCATGTTATAAAACACCTTCATTTTATAGGAAGTTTGCTCTGTGGAATCTGATGACATGACAGTCACCAAAACCACAGTTTCTACTCACTTAAGGAACAAATTCACTTCTAGCATCTGGTTATACAAAGTTGAGTTTGCACAAATGTCCCAAAGCTAAAGAATGTACTCCCAGTGTAAGCAGCACTGTGATTGAAGGATTTACGGGGTACATACAGGTGTAGCATAAAAAAATTATTTGCTCTAGAACAGTCATAGTCCATCTTTTAAAAATTAAAAGCATTTTCTTTGGAACCTATTTGGAATGGTGTGATTACCAAGGAACAAGTCAAGAGTTTGAGCAGATTAAGGGGCACATTTATATATTTTGTCACTGCGTTTCAGGATTATACCTATGAGCACTGTTTTGGGTGAGTAGCATGATTAAAAAAAAAACAATAGGAGTGAAAAGTGATCTTTGTATCATTGTCTGTTTCCCACATGGAGTAGTAATGAAGTCCACTATAAATATACTATAAGCCCTAATCAGTGAATATGGCTTCCAGCATTGCTTTTGGTACATAAGTAACCCATTTAGCTAAAAGGTGACAGCTAGTTGGCTCACCTCAGGTTTATTAGTTGTTCCTGAGTCTCTGGATTAGATGTTGCTTTTATTAGACTGTAATACTTTACTGTTTATTTACTGTAATATTTTACTGTCAGTATTCTGTAAAATGATCTGTCAACATTTGTGTAGTGGTCAAGAACTTGGACTACAGGATTAAACAAATCTAGAACAGTACTAGTTCTGAAACTTAATGATTGTGGGACATTGAGGAAGCTTTTGAACCCCTCTAAACCCTTTTTCTTACCTACAAAATGATGATAAATGAATGGATGTTATGTTGAATGAATAGTTAGTTTTCAGTACATATTAGATACAGTAACTGTGAGACTGGTTTTCTTTTTATGGTTTACACATGAAGAAGTGTAAGTGTTGCTTGTTAAAGTTTGTTTTATCTGCCTGGCGCTGAGGTGGGAGGATCACTTGAACCCAGGAGTTCGAGACCAACCTGGGCAACTGAACAAGAACCCAGCTCAGAAAAAAAAAAAGTTTGTTCTATTTTAATTTCTCTATCCAGATATTGTATCAAGTAAAATATTTATATTTATATTAGTAGGCATGCAGATAATTACAGTATTGACATATCAAAGTGTGGTACATTGAGCACTTGGGAAAGATTTGGGGGGTGACTAATACAGTATGTTATAATTTTCTTTTTCTAGAAATACTGCCCCTTTTTTCTCAAGTTCCACAGTTGAGAATTGCTGCTGCTTTGGAATAAAGGCTGAACAGATTGGATATAGACTCTGGCTAAGGAAATATATTATTATAGATATAAAATAATAAAAAGTATTTATATAACATTTTTAATTTATTACAAAGCACAGAATCAATAAGAGGACTTCTGTTGGCTGACCAAAAGGTTTCAAACTTCACATCACATATCAGTTGATTTATGAGAGGTGAATGAAGATGAGCCAAGTGCAGAGGAGACTTAGGACAAAAGGCCCAATCATGGTGACTTTAGAAAAGTACAAACAATTTGTTGTGGCTAGAACTTGGGTATTAGAGAGGTATTGACAAAAGAGTATAGGGCTAGAATAAGAAAGATAGCTAGATTTGTGTCATCAAACATGTTGTTGAATGTTGTGCTGTGCTTAAAAGCTTTGACCATCCTAAAGATTCTAGAGAATGAATACATTTCCATTAGGGCAGTAACATCAAGTTTATGATACCTCCTGTGAAATAGAATGAAATGTGGTTACTCTGTTTCTAAGATTTCTATTTCCTCCTGGAAAACAGGGCAAGACATGAGTCATAGTTCTAAAATAATTGCTTCCTTCTTATACAAATTGCCCCTAGAAATCTTTTTTCCTTTAATCATTTTCCAGATAGAACTGTTGCATTTGAGCTAAACTGGTTTAGAAGAACAAGGGCACCAAGATAGTTTTAGATAAAGCATTGGGTTTGAAGCATTGGATCCAAGTTCATGTCTCAATTCTGCTGCTCAAGTAATTTTGTAACCTTGAAAGTCAATCACTGAGTCTCAATTTTCTATAATAGAAGCTAACAAAAATATTAGAAAATTTGAAAGTTTCCATTTACTCTTTATTGTTGATTGAGGGGTTTATTTGTCAGAAAGCTGCATCTATGTGAGAGAGTAAAGAGATGATGGACTTTGGATATAAACCTTGAACCTTGTGTTTATTCCAGCTAAGGCAGGAACGGATCCAAATTCAGCAGCTTGGGCTGCTTATTATGCTCACTATTACCAACAGCAAGCACAGCCACCACCTGCAGCTCCTGCAGGTGCACCAACTACAACCCAGACTAATGGACAAGGTAACTATGGTAACTAAACAATTTATTTTGTATTTAAAAGCCAAAACATTCAAAATTATATATGAAGTGTATCACTGTATAATACGTAAAGTTTCTAACATTAAATTCAGTTATAACTTCAGTGCTATAGATTTTGCATTCTTAAATTAAGTTACTTTGAAATAATTTGAAAGTTTTCATAAGAACAAAATCAGGATCACATAGATAGCCAAGTTGTTGTTTTATCTCCACCTACTCCATTACCCTCTCATATATGTGTCCATGTTTACTGTCGTCATTTCGTTATAGAGCCCTGAAAATTAGTCTCCCAACGTTAATATATCTTTACTGTCCCAATGTGCTGCCTTTATTTAGATTTCACCAATTGTCCTAATACTTTCTCTCCTGATGCAGGATCCCATTTGGTAATATAACATACTCTTCCCAATCTGAAATTGTTCCTCGTTCCTTTTAAATTTTTTTCCCCTCTGTTATATAGTAGAGTGCAGACTTGTGTTTTGTTAAAAGATTGCCAATCTAGGTCCCTTTGACCTTTTCTTTTTTGAGATGGATTCTCGCTGTGTTGCCTAGGCAGGTCTTGAAAACCTGGGCTCCAGCGATCCTCCTGCCTCAGCTTCTCAAGTAACTGGGATTACAGGTGTGCACCACTATGCCTGGCCTATTCAATCTTTTCTGTTGACCATAAGGTAATGCTTACTTGACAAGAAAACTCAAGGAACTATGCAGTGATGTTTATACTTTGAACAGGAATCAAAATGTTTAAATCTTCCATATCTGGTGACAGTAAGCTTGACCATTTGGTCATATTGATTGATGTGTGTTAGGTTTTTGGGCCATGATACTACCATTTTTCTCTTAAAATTAATTAGTATTTTCTGGGGGCATTATATTGAGATTATACTGTTCTTTGTCAAACTTCTATCAAACAGCCTTCATTAATAATGTCTGCTTTTAATACTAGCATGGTGATGATAATTTTTATTTTATACTTGTACATTTATTGATATTTTATCATAAAGAGCTTTCCCTTTTATCCTATTTAATTCTTTATATCGATATGGGTTCCTTTTGTATTTTTTTAAATCATTTTTTATTATTTTAATAATCAGATTGTCCTAAATTGGGCCAGTCAGTAGTATCTTCAAGGTGGCTCCTGTATCCTTTTGAAGTGCCTATAATTCTTTAAACACTTTCTTATTTTCTGGCACAATAAGATGTTGATTTTATGTTTTCGGGCTCTAGCCATTTCTACAAAGGTTCCTGATTTCCTTTGGTGGAGGGCAGAGGGTATCATAGGTTAAGCTCAGGGGCAGTCTTTATCACTCAGCCACCTCCCCAGACCTTCTTTTTTAATTCTTTGAGACAGGGTTTCATAAAATTGAAGAGGCTGTCCTGGAGCTTGGAATCCTCCTGCCTTGACCTCTGGAGTCTTTGGGATTATAGCCAACACAGCACCATGCCTGGCATGATTTCCCTTTAATGAAGGATGACATTTAGAAACCAAATTGTACGCATATTGCTACTGAGGTGTCATTACATCTAGTTTTTTTCGGCAGACAAAACTAGGAAATATTTGGGCATGGTGGTACACACCTATAATCTCAGCTACTTGGGAAGTTGAGGCTGGAGGCCAGCCTAGGCAGTAAGACCTTGTCTAGGGCTATGGAGTGTAGCTCAGTTCAGTGGTACATCCTGGGTTTAAACCCTAATATCCCTCCCACCCAAAAGGAAAAAAAACAACTAGGAATAGTTCTTTAAAGTGTTTTCCCTTTTCATATTTAAAAATGGTAAGGGCTTGGGCTGTGTAGCTCAGCGGCAAAGCACCTAAATTTATGAGTGCCCCTGAGTTTAATCTGTGATACCCCCTGCTCTCATACCTGCATGTGTGAGGCACTGGGTTCGATCCTTAGCACTGCATATAAAACTAAACAAGTAAAGGCATGCTGTCCATCTACAACTTTAAAAAATTTTTTTCCTATATGGTGAGAATCAGGTATCCTCAATATATTTTCTTATTTGACGTCAGTTTGCGCATATATATATAATAACCAGTGTTATCTGTCCAATATCTCAATCTTACACCATCTTCTGTTGTATATGTGTGTGCGCGCTTGTGTGTGTGGTGATTAAATGCAGGGCTTTGTCCTCGCAAGGCCAGCACTCCTACCACCTGGGCTATATCTCTAGCCCCATCATCTTCTGTCTTTGACACTAGCAGGGACAACGCCACTATCACACAGCAACTCCCTTCTACCTCACTGCTCCATCATAGTCCACTGCCAATTCCTACACTCCAAGAAGCAGAAGGAAAGGCTCAAAATAGCCTTTAAAAACTTTTAATCTTACTTTTTTGTTGTTTTTCTTTAACAAGGAGATCAGCAAAATCCAGCTCCAGCTGGACAGGTTGATTATACCAAGGCTTGGGAAGAGTACTACAAGAAAATGGGTATGTTGTGTATATTTAAATATATATATGTGTGTGTGTGTGTCCTTATAATTTTGATTCATTAATTATTGTAATATTGAGGGGAATAATTACCAAAATTACATTATAAAATAACTGGATCTTCAGCCACTACAAATAATTCTTACATATGGTCTGGGTTTGCAGCATAATGGTAGAGCACTTGCCTAACATGCAAAATCATGAGTTCAATCCCCAGCACCACACAAACAAAAATAAATCTTAAAATCTGTAGTTATTAACAAGGAAATGCATTTGTTAATCAGTTTTTATTTGTAACTAGAATTTTTCTCACTGGCATATATGACTTTGAATATTGCTGAACTTTTGTCAAAGGCCAGTTAACCTTTATAACTAGCATAAATGATATGAAGTTATATTTCTGAGCACCAAGCAGAAGTTGGTTGTGTGTGCTATCATTTTCGCTGCAAAATAGCAGGTAAGGTCTGAGGAAGCTCAGGGAAGAATACTTGCTTAGCATGTACAAGGTCCTAGGTTTGATCCCAGCACCACCACCCAATAAACAGTAAACCAGGTAAGAAGTAACCTACAGAGAAGGGAATTACTTAAATAACACTGGTATGTATGAAAAAGGGAAAATAAGTCACCTAGAAAAAAGCTTTTTCCTTCAATAACTATAGCTTACATAAAGCCATGTGCCTAGCATAGTGGTACATATTGAGAGTGCATTTAGAGCATAGGAGCTAGGAGACCTGATCTAAAAGGATACAATTGTTAGTCAAATGAAATGATATATTTGAAAAATCAAACTGCCATGCAAAGGAAAAGAGCTTTCTCTTCACTAACAGTTCACTTGTACAGATTGAGATAGAATCTGAATTTTACTTCACAAGGTCTTGAGTCCCAAACCTATTTCACAAATTTTATGTTTTTAGGGACCATTTAGAACCTGGTACTATACTTCTAGACTGTTGTTTTTCAGATGCTTTGGCTTATAATTCTTTTTAAAGTAACATACCATTACCACAGTCAGTTATCAAAAATGAAAGTCACAAATGAAAGCTAAACAGATAAATTTGCCCATCCTTCACTGGCACAGAAAAAGGTAGAATTTTGTTGTAAGATAGTCTACTTGTGGTTTTAAGTATAAATTTCAGTGTTTTCTAAAGATTTCTGCAAAGCTAATTCTTGGTTAGTTGTTTGGTTTGGTTTTGTGGTACTAGGGATTGAATGTAGGCCCTTATGCTGGCTAGGCAAGCCCTCTACCATTGAGCTACCTATCTAGCCCTTTTGAAAATTTTTTTGTTTTTGAGGCAGGGTCTCAGTATATTGCCAATTAACCTCAAATTTACAGTCCTCTGTTTGCTTCAGCCCCAAAGTCAGTGGGATTAAAGATGTAGGCCACCAGGCTTGGCTGATTGCTGTTTAAGGAAGATTAATTTTTCCAGTTAGAATGACCTTGAAAAGAGTGTCATGCTGTGTGTCATTCCTAAGGATTTCTCAGATTTATTAATTTTGTTTTTGTGACCTAGCTTAGCTTAGACACATCTATAGCAACTGCATTAAGAAGTTGTTTAGCTTTAATCCTAAATAATATACTCTTCTTAGTGTGACCACATAATTTATTATGTGAATGGGCATGCTGTGAATAATCATGCCCTGGCAACACAGTGGTTAGGACCTATATCCACCTTAAATTTAATATAATAACTTTATCATTTTAAAGAATTAAGCATGTTGAGGTTAAAATACATTAGTTCAAACTTCTTTTTTCACACCATGCCAGACATGTTCCTATATTGTTACCAAGTGGGTAAAAACAAAGACCTTTTAATGACTTGGTAATTATTGGGGGATGAGTTTGGCTTTTGTGCTTTATTATATCCTACTGCTTCTTGGCAACACAACCGCTAAAAAGTTTTCTGTTGAGTTGTTTTATATTTTACATGCCCAAAGTGAGTACTTTGATTTCTGATTATTACTATAAAAGTGTAGGCATTTTAACTTGCCTTTGTTGTAATTTTTCATTTACTACTGTTTCCCTGCCATCCTTTTTTTAAAATCATCGTTCTGTAGATATTATGTTAGATTGTATAGACTGGTTGGGCATTTGCCTCTCATGTAATTGTTTTGGGTTGTGTTAGGGATTGAATCCAGGTTGGGCTGTAATACTGTGCCACAACCCTCAGCCCCTTCATATGTGTCTCCCCACCTTTTTTTTTTTTTTTTTTTTTTTTTGTACCCAGGATTGAACCACAGGCACTTAAGTCACTGAGCCATATGTCTTATTTAGAGACAAGGTTACACTGAGTTACTTAGGGCCTCTCTGAGTTGCTCAGGCCAACCTTAAACTCAGCCTCCCAAGCCACTGTGTATAACACTTCGCCCATTTAATGTACTTTTTAAAGAAATTAAGACTAGATAATTTAGTCGCATGTTTAATGAACATATTTTTATTATATGATAGGGATGTCAATTTATTTTTTCCTATGACAGTTTTTTTTGTAAATGACCTTTGCTTAACTACTCTGATTTCTTCTAGGTATAATCCTCAGGCTCTTTTTAGGGTATCCACAAATAAGAGACTTTAAATATAGTTCAGTCATCAAGTATCATAAATGGCAGGAGGAAAAGGAATGATAATATTGGGAGATAAAAATCTTTACTCACAACCCACTTCCTTGTTAACCCTTCAGTTGGTCTAGATTTTCCAAGACTTCAGATTTCCTAGTTCCCTTGATTTCCCATCCAGTACTCTTTACCAAACTAGGCAGGCTATGACATTGGAGTTTTTTCCCCCAAAGAAACTCAGGTGATTAAATTCTTAAAAATGAGATTCTAGAGAGTTTAACTAATTAGCAAATACTCCATAAGAGAACAAATAAGGTTTCAAACTAGAGAGATAATTTCTGTTTTGGAGCAGGGTAAGTGAAATCATTTTGGGGAAAGTTTGACTTAAGAAAGGCCCTTCTGGGGCTGAGGCTATAGCTCAGTGGCAAAGTGCTTGTCTCGTATGTTTGAGGCACTGGATTCAATCCTCAGCACCACATAAAAATAAATATACTGTGAGTTCATCTACAATAAATATTTTTTTAAAAAATAGAAAAGCCCTTCTGATGTTAAGCACTGATATGATGGACTCAGAACACTAGCCATCTGGTATCAAGCCTGAAGAAGGAGCAAGAGGAATTGTGGGAGGATATATGGAGAAATAATTGAGTGCTACACACTGTTCAAGGAAGGGTGATTCTTCGACTATAGTAGAAAGTTGTTACCCATAAAAAGAAACGGAAGTACTGGAGGTAGAGAGCCAAGTCTTAAGTACATTAAATAGGAAGAGTTCTTTTGTCTTCTTAACTTGGCAAAATGAGTAACATTTGGCCTTTGGGCGGGAAAGGTGAAATGAGTTTTTCTTTCCTTTTAGTTGTAGATGGACATAATACCTTTTATTTTCTTCATTTTTACATGGTGCTGAGGATCAAAAGCAATGCCTCACATGTGCTAGGCAAGTACTCTACCACTGAGCCACAACCCCAGCCGAAATAGTTTTTTTTTTTTTAACGTATGTTTCAGATTGAAATGTAAAATGTTGACAACTTACTTAACAAATATTTTTCTTTGAGTCTAACACCTTACTTCTAGTTTTTCATCAGATACTTGGGTTTGGGGGCGGTGTTAGGGAATATTTGAGTCTAATGAGTTTTTTCTGCACATGTCTGTTTAACATCTTGTTATGAACTGGGGATATAGCTCAGTTGGTAGAGTGCTTGCCTCACATGCACTAAGGCCCTGGGTTCAATCCCCAGCACCATAAATAAATAAGCAAGCAAGCAACCTAAGCATGTCTTACAATGAAGTTTTGTTCATTTTGTAAACTTGTAAGTGGGAATTATTGCTCTCTTAACAAGGTTTGTTTCCAAGGATGAAAGAGATGTGTTTTTATTGCCTTTACTACCTGGTATTTGTTTTGCAAATATTGAAACTTGTTTGACTTGTCTCCTTATAAAAGTCAAAATGTTAAACTCGCTTTTGGAAATAGTTATTTATGGAAGAAAAAGAAATATTGAGAATTTTTTGTAGTAAATTTTTCTCTGTTGCCCAAAGAAAGGGTTTTTATTCATTTTTAAGGTTAATGGTTATAACTTAAAATTTTATTCATTCAGTGGCTTTTTAATTGTTACAATTTTATAATGGTGGCTACTACTTTCTTAAACTACATAAAGTTGCCTTTTTGGAAACATCCAGCAAACATAAAAATAGCTTCCTATATAATGCTCCAGTATTTTTTCTATGTAATTATGTAATAGAACCAAGTGTTCATGTGTAGGAGCTATGATTAAGAAAACATGTCCTTGTTTCTCCTTGCTGCTTGTGTGTGTGTGTGTGTGTGTGTGGCCTAGATGCTAAGCAGGTTTTCCACTACTGAGCTATATCCCCAGCCCTTTGTTTTCTGAGACAGGACCTTCCTAAGTTTCCCAGGCTGACCTCCTGTGATCCTCCTGCCTCAGCCTCCCAAGTAGCTGGGATTACAGGCACACACCACTGCCCAGCTGTGTTTTCTATTTTGAAAATTTCCCACTTTCAGAAAATTGAGGCGGTGGGGGGTACAGCAAATACCCAGTTTCACCATTTTTAAAAAGTGATTCATATCCCTTTGTATTTAATGTTTTTTGTACATGGACAATTACAAAGTAAGTTGCAGATAATTTTTCCTCCAAATATACTCAGCAGTGTCCTTAACATGCACAATATATTTATTCAGAAAATCTTTTATAATTATATTTTCAGAGCCCATTCAGTGTCTCTTTAATCTTATAATTCAGAAAAGTCATCTTGCCTAAAGAAAGATCTGCTCCTCATGAGTATTGTGTTTCGTTGATCTAATTTTTTGTGTTATTTGCCAAGTTATTTTTAATAATTTTTGGTTGTAATTTAAACATTGAGTCTGTCATGGCCTTTAAGTGTTTTTTATAAATATTTTTTGTAATTCTCTGTTGAGGGCTTGAATTTCAAGACCAGTTGTATAACAGATGAATCCAAACAGAGAAACAACCAAAAAAATAGAGAATTTTCTCTCTTTTACCCTCTGTTTGCCATCACTACCAGGGCACCATCCCAAGGTTTACAGACTACTTAACTTGAAGTACTTTTGAAACTTATTCGGAACAGTAACAGTTTAACTCTGGAATTGATTCAAGTATTATGCCTGAATTTTTACCTTTACTTAAGGCTATGTGGATTTTGGCATGTATTTGTTTTTAATTAATAGTGATGCCTTCTAAAAATCCATGATTAACATAAGACTAAGAAAAGAGGAGGGGTTGGTTTTTTTTTTTTTTTTCAGGGTAGTTTCAACACTAATGAATATTTAAGATAAACAGGCAGAATTCTGACCCTCTGCTTTGTCATTATAACCTGTACTTACAGTGGATATAATTTTATATTAAAATATAGGGGGATTTTTTTAGGTCAACAAGGGCAGACACAAGATTATTCAAAGGCTTGGGAGGAATATTACAAGAAGCAAGGTATTGTTTTTGTTAGAAATGAGATTCTTCTGGGCTTTTAATTATGGTTGCAGCAACAAGGTTGTTCTGTTTTCTTAAAGGTCAAGCAGTTCCTGCTCCTACTGGGGCTCCACCAGGTGGTCAACCAGATTATAGTGCGGCCTGGGCTGAGTACTATAGACAACAAGCAGCTTATTATGCCCAGACAAGTCCCCAGGGAATGCCACAGCATCCTCCAGCACCTCAGGTATAATAAATAAATATACTAATTTGTTGATCCCCCCCCCCCCTTCCAATCATGTTTTCTGCATGTTTACTGTTTTGTCTGTTTGGGATTGTTTATCTTTTTTATTTTCATCTGGCAGACTATAACTGAAATGTTGTATATTTGGTTTTTTGTTTTGTTTGGGGGGTTTCTTGTTTTTTATTTTAAATAATTCTTTCTGGCATCTGAGTGCTGAATATTTCTACAATGCCTTTGATTTAAAAATAAATTTTCTTCCCCCCAGGGATTTGCAAATCATGCAAGAAGCCACCAACATTTATATTAACCAATTTTTCTTTCTTAAAGGATTCACTCCTGAATTAGCTCCATTTAAAGGATTTTCTTTAACTTTTTGTGTATTTCTTATGTATCTCTTCTGCACAGGGCCAATAATAAGAAGTGGACAATACAGTATTTGCTTCATTGTGTGGGGGAAAAAAACCTTTGTTAAATATATGGATGCAGACGACTTGATGAAGATCTTAATTTTGTTTTTGGTTTAAAGTAGTTTTTTTTTTCCCTTTTTTTTCTTTTTCTTTTTCTTTTTTTTTTTTTTTTGAAAATGTACAAAATATCTATCACTACTGATAGGAGGTTAATATTTCTGTGTAGAAATGAAAATTGGTTTGTTTTTAGTGTTTAGTGTAGATGTACACATTCCAGCAAATGTATTTGCAACTATTATGTGGTCAATGCTTTGTGATATAAATGTACTTTTTCAATGTATACTTTCACTTTTAAAAATGCCTGTTTTGTGCTTTACAATAAATGATATGAAACCTCCTGTGTCGGTAAGTTGGATATGTGGGTATTTAAAGAATTCGTAATTTCTTAGCAATGATAAGATACATATACACAAATATGTAAGCTTTCCCCGTGAATTATTGAGTTTTTAAACACTGGCATGTTTTTTCCCCGTTGCAGTATAGTGGTAGATTGGAGACTTTTCCATTTATTGTATTTGGCTATTTCAGCACAAGTAATCCTGATATCTTCATTTTTTTCCCTTCTGTTTGATTAAAAACTGCATGTGTGTACAATGATCTTTTGGCATACTTCCATTGCATTAACAGTAAAATTTCCTTTTATACATGACCACTGTTTCAGACCTGTACTGCTGCTATAACAGTTAACCTTTCTGTTCTTAATTTGATATTTACTTGATTTCCAAGACTGTTTCAGCATAACTAATTTTAAACAGTTTTCAGATAGTGAATTTGAGTAGTATAATGACTTTTTTTTTCATGTAAAGTAACTCTTTCGATGTATATAATATTAGTGTGTTTCTTTCTAAATTTAGGGTAGAAAAGCGAGTAGTATGCAAAAAGTATAGCTACATTGCATCTGCCATTGAAACATAATTGGGGTATGGAAACGTTCAAGTTTTTTTCTTTTTTCTCTTTTTTTATTTTTGCAGTATAGATAAGCTTTGTTTTGTAAATGCACAAGTCCAATCATTGAATCAACTTAATTTTTTTATGTACTTGAAATCATTTTATTACTCTTTAACACTCATGCTGAAGTTCTGATATTTTGTTGAAATCCATTGTTTTATTCTTTGCATATTTGTTGGCTCTTTGCATATTTATAGACTACATGCAAATACAGTCTGTCTTGCCATTGTCTGTTGAAGTGCAGGTTTGATCCAGCCAGTATAGAACTAGCTCTGTAGGGGTGAGGAGGACTGTGCTGTGTATCATCCTTGATTGTGTTCCTTCAAGGAGCATTGCACTGTAAGTACATCAGAATGACAAATTGATGAACTGCAACAGTATCTTTTTGTCAATGTTCCACATAATGCAAATGCCATATTTTGTGTGAATATTATGTTGGAATACAGTGCTAATATCTTGGAAAACTATAATTGCTTAACATAGAATAATACATAGTTCTGTTTTTTTTTTTTTCTAAGTGAGCTTAATGGGTAAGTATTTTTGATATGCTTTAGCTATAGCTAAAGAAAACTTGATCATTAACAAAATTGAACAGTATTATTGGTGCTCCTAAAATATTGTTTTTTGGTTAAAATATGCATATCGTATATTAATATGAAAAACTTGGAATGTGTAAGACAGAAGTGGTTCTCAGCTTGCAAATAATAAGCAATGTAGCACTTTTAACACCATAAATATATTTTCTGTCATTGGTGGGGAGCACCATTTGTTGCTTTGAATATACTGTAAAGGAAGATGTGCAAGAACAAAATGTTGAGATTACCTGTAGAGGAAAATAGCAGTACAGTTCATTTTAGATATTTTGAAATGTTTTTGATTGTTTTATATAACCTAGAGTGATTTCCCTTACCCTTATTTAGATATGGATGTGTAGTACTAGTTTGAAGTTTAATAGTTAAGGAGTTAGTTAATCTATTATCTTTAAGATTAGGGTATTGACATGAAAATTTGAGTATTTTGCATGATTCTGTTGTGTAGATGATCTTTTAGGAAAGTGGTGCATTTATTAATTAAAACTGAAGAAATAGTTCAGTTGGATTCAGTATCATAACTCACAAATTGGAGGCTGTTGATTTTGATTCATTTAAGGTTTAAAATCTTTATTAATTGCAAACAGTGCAATTATTTATACTTCACAGTGCCTTCCCAGACCTTCCACCTTAGGTTCTGCTGCAAAAAGCACAGGTAAGCACAACCTAAGGACATATATAAATAAATATTTCAGTACATTAATGTTGTCCCTGTGAGGTTTTTGTGGTTGTGTACTCAAAAGCAATCTGCTGCTGCTACCCCAAAATGTATTTTGTTATGCTACCATTTTAGTGGAAAGTCTGTTAAGTTGTTCAAGCAACTGTACATTTCTGGGTTATGTTTTTCATTTTAATTTTTTTATTAAAACAAAAGTAATGTAGATTGCTGCTATAACTGATCTACATGCAAATCTTTTGCATTTTTCCCCAAAATATAAAATTGTTGCAGTTAAGAAAGGACAGTTGCATAGTTTTCAAAATTTAGGAAATCGGTTGGTCAGAAACTTCAACAGCCTTCACAGTCTGTTTATGATTGACACGACATTTTCTTTGCCCTCCAAAGCTATGGTTTCTTTATTTTCTTTTTTCTTATTCTTGAACTATAATAAATCAATAAGAACATTATGGGACAGTTTTTATTATCATTTTTTTTTCTTAGACAAGTCTGTTTTCATAACAAATGCTGAAAAGAAAAAATTATGAAATACTGGCAGTATGTTTTGATAAAAGGCATGTGCATCAGTGAAATGTTAACTGTATAGCAAATAACCTTTCATAATCTGTGTAGCAACCAATATTTTTCTGACTTATAATATTTTAATAACTGACGCTGCATTTATTTTATTTTTGCCAGTTTTAAGTGTTTGTGTGTTCTTATAGATGATTTTAACTGGTACATAATTTTGAGTTAAGATGATTGTATTAAAGCAGCATCATACCAGTTTTGTTTATTCAATTTCTAAAATGTGCTGATCCTTTTAAAACTCCTGCTTATCTCTACATCAAAGAAAAATATTCAAAAATACTGCCTTCATTTTCACACACAGTGCTGAAGATGCTGCAAGCACCAAATCATAGCTCATAAAATCAGGTCCTGAGATAGTTACCCATAAAGAGGAATCCTTTGAGTGTATGCCATTGGTGAGCCGATGAGCATGGACCATAGAAGGGCTCAATGTAGAAGGTAAAATTGGCAAATCATAATTGAGAAATATGAAATGTATTCCCATACATAATATGGTATAGGGTGTAATGTACCTGCTTTTGATCACTTTTCATTTTAAAGTGCTATTCACTTGATCTTAAATGTTCCATGAACTGTTAAATTTCTTAAGTTACTGCACCACATTTATGCTTATGTGTGTTTGATAGTCAATGCTAGTTATGTTAAAATTTGATAATACAAAGGGGCTCTTGACTTTAAGAGCCTGTCAAGTTTTGGTTAGTTGTAGTTTGCATTTTTATAAAAGAAAATATAGATGAATGCTAATAGATATTGTGGCATTGTTGCTATCTCATGAGAATTTTTTAATTCATAAGCCTTCTTGATAAAATAAGCATTTTTTAAAAATGGCGCTAACCTTTCCATAATTTTGAAATAAAGGGAAAGCAGAAAAGGTGAGCCAGATGGTTTGAAATGATAATGGATCTTAGTGGTGGTAGGGAAAAAAAAATGTTTAGATTGAAATTTAACTGATTAATTTGATTAGCACTTGAGCAAAAACTTGACAATGTGTTTTTAAAACATCTTAGTGTTGTGATACTTAGAATTCTATAGTTTGATGTTTTTTGTTTTTTTTGTTTTGTTTAGAAATAAGTATAGTTTTTTAACTAATGAAAATGGTTTAATACTAAGACTAGTGATTTGATACTAGTTGTTTATTAACATTGTAAAACGTATCCTTAAACAAATATCTTTGAGGTTTATTCATAATGGCAGGTTTGGTTAGGTGTAGCAGAGTGACTTAGAAAGAAATAGGAGTATATTACTAAGTAACAGTATTTGTTTGGATGCTCTGCCAGTAGAATCTTCTACCTAAAAAGTTATCTGTTGTCTAGAATAATGTAGTAGAGTTTACTAATCAGTGAGGATGTTTTACTTTTTTTTTCTGCAAATTCTGCCTCATTTAAAAATGCTTTTTAACAATACCTAGTTAAATATAATTTGACTCTGAAAATAACCTTACGTTTTATTTGAACAGTCACTTGATTTTTCTTACCACAATAAAACTTTTGAGGGATTTTTAAATTGGTGCTTTTAAAAAGCAAATAAATCCCAGAGTTTTATTTTCTTCAGTAATACCCCTAAAGAAAACTCTTAAATGTATTTGCGAATATATATATATATATTTTTTCTTATGCATGCTCGATGCATTTTCGTCCTGAGAAAAGTGTTCTCTACAGAAACTACCCGTGTGTAAAAAGAAGATTGGCTTAAAATGGCTACTGTGATGGGAACAGTGTCTTAGGGAGATGCAGCTTGGACTTGAGGTAAATTGAATACTTTACAAACTGTGGTTTAGAGTTTGCTTTAATGACACTGTATGTAAAAGGACGTATGCTTGCTGTAATTTTGTATTCATTTTGGTCTCCTCAATAAAAAAAATAAATAAATGTACTTTGAATTATAAGAGAGTACTTTGTGTCTTTATGCATTTAATACTCAGGAAAAAGAATTTTGTCTTGACTGTCTTTAAAGGATTATTGTGGGTAAGAATTCTAATGATAAGGGTAAACATCTTGTAGGAATCTTTAAACCAAGGAAAGACTTTTTTCTTTAATATACAAGTTACTTTATTATGGGTTTACATTGTAAAATAAATCTGTCTTCCAGAAAATTAAAATATAAAAACAACTTAATGACAGAACATAACTAGTTATTTACAAATAGACTAGTATTTTTAATTAAAGGCTTTCTAGTATCCCTAACACTCAGAACAATGTATAGATAGTGGTTTCTTATTAGGTTTTTTCTGGTGTCTGTTTTCCATAAATTCTTTCTTAAACTTTTGTTTTTCTGCATGTTCTCCCTTTTCCATGAAAAGAATGATCTTATTCCCCCTCTTTTCAGAAAGACTCTAAAACTACAACATTCAGAATTCTGTTCCTCTAAGAAAACAAACTAACTCAAATTGATTCCTAATTAGTTGTCTCAGTCTACTTCTGACTAATTTTAGGTATAAAAGCTCACTAAAAGATAATTCATGCAAAATAATGTTTACTTTTTAAAAACATAACTGCTATGAATATGGGAAATATACTACCACCCTTGTAATTAGGTTCTGATAGAATAATTGAATCAATTTCCCACTCTCATAAATATATTTTATTGACTGCTAAAATACATATTGTAGAATATGTTGATAAATCTGATATTCAATTGAAAAACAATATTCTGTAATAAGAGTTTGTGTTTTGAAGACTTATGAAAAGGAATTAAGAAGTCAACAGAGTGGTACTTCTGGTATCCTTTTTGGTACTGCCACAGAAAGTAGGAAGAAAGAAAGTTGTAGATAGAGAAAGTTCCAAGTTGAGAAGGTACCCTAGTAGTCATCAGCTAAAAAAGAGAAAAAGAAAAATAATTTTTTTAATAGGAAAAAACTTTTAATAGAATAAAAAGATTAAAAGATGATTAATTCTTACTTTCAATGGTAAGAATACAGGTACTAGCTGCAGAGCCTTTATTGTTGACTGCTTTACACATATACTCTCCTCCATCCTCTGGGAAAGTTTCTGGTAAGTAAAGGCAGTAAGTTTCTCCTCTTTCAATATATTGATAGTCTTCCCCATCCTGCAGTATTTCTCCTTCAAACCACCATGTGATTTCTGGTTTGGGTTCTCCTGTTACTTTAACAGTAAATCTGACTGGCTCACTATCTACAACTGAGGTGTTTTTCAGAGGCTTCTTGAACCACGGAGCTCCTGATCTGGTTTGCTCTTCATCTTCAATCGTGGAGCCATTCATGATGCTACCCTCCTCCTCTTCCTCCTCTTCTCTTTTCTGTATTAAAATAAATGCAGTCAGGATGGCATTTATAATATCAGTATTTTCAAAGCGGCGGTATAGTAGTAGAATTTTGAAGGTGAAAGTAAATAATGTACACTTATTATTAAGTACACATTATTCCAATTACTTGAAAGCTATTAAAACATTCTGTAAATTCCTCTTCATAAAATTATGGTATTTAAAAGCATCCTTAGAAAAAATTTTTTAAAAAATATGTAAGCCTAGTACCTTTTGTAGTGCTGCATCAATTTCTTTTTGTTCAAACTGCATTCGTAGAAACTTTTGTTCTTCAATTCTTCTTTGTTCTTCTTCTTCCCTTGCTTTAGCCATTTGTTCAAATCTTGCTTTCATATTCACTTTATGAGTAAATGGAGCTTCACTTTTTTTTGCAGGCTTTATATCAACATCTTCTTCCTTCAAGAAAATGGGCCAAGAGTAACAATTGCTTGTTTTCTAAAAACAAGCTGGGGTTTGGCTCAGTGGTAGAGCACCTGCCTAGCACGTGAGGCACTGGGTTGGATCTTTAGCACCACATAAAAATGAATAAACAAAACAAAGGTATTGTGTCTAAGACCAAAAAAAAAAAAAATTAAGAACTGAAGTGTTAATAGTTGTGTATAGGCACAAAGTGATTCACGTCATTGGTATGCATGTGCTCTCCTAGACAGGATTGTTTTACTGCCCTATAATTAAAAAAAAACTGATAGTTGGTACTGGAGATTGAGCCTAGGGGTGCTTTACCACTGAGCTATACTCCTCCCACCCCTTTTTATTTTTTGAGTTTGGGTCTCACTAAATTGCTGAGACTGGCCTCAAACTTGCTATCCTCATGCCTCACCCTCCCAGGCCACTGGGTTTACAGGCATTTACCACCATGTTCAGCAAAGCATTCTTAATTATGATCCTGTTCTCCCAGTGTAAAGATCACACAATATCACTGGAATGCCAGCCTATTTTACCCAACCAACAATGGCTTGTTTTTGATGTTACTGAATAATACAAAAAAGGTCAGAATATAGTACTACACCTTTCACGATTAGTAAAACTTCCTTTCCCACGCAAGTCTCCCACCCTATAACAAAGAATATAATTTATGTTATTTCTTGTTTGATTTTTCCTTCTTTACCCATCTTAGGTCTGTATCCTAGAGATGAATTCCATCCAAATCCTGGTCAAATGGTAGAGAAAGGTGTTACAAGTAGAAATGGGAAACTTAAACGACAGTATATGTAGCATAAAGAAGGGATTAAGGTCAAATGTGTAGTTCATCTGTGTAAAGCTAAGTGTTGGAAGAAATGGGTATAATTAGTGATTTAAGAGCAGTATCAGTATGAGTCTAGGAAAGGGCCAATTTGATAGTGATGTCACTTGAGGGTGGTCTTAGAGTGGGGTTCAGTTAATCCATACTTTCTAAAGTACTATAGTAGTTGACTCTTGATTTCTAGGCATTTGTGGGTTTATCTGAAAACCATTTAATAATACTGTGGGTAGTTGCTTCAGGGTACCCATAGCCAGCTAAAGAATTTGTGAAGACAGCTATATGAAAGTCTTGGTTTTATATCAGTTTAAGGTGTTGCACCCTTGTTCTAATGGGGGGAGTAGGAAGTAAAAGAAAATTGAGTAGTTTTTCTGTGTTTGAATCCAGTTGTATTATTAGGTTAAAAAGTATGTTATCAACGGGGTTTTCTATAAGTTTGAACAAGTAAAAATTTCTCATAAGCTAACTGGGAGAAAGTGAATGAACATTCACTTAAATACAATGTCATCTCTTCTTGGATCCCTGAAAAGCAAGGTTCAGGTTTCTGGGAAAAACCTGTATCCTGTTGAATGGAATGAATGCTTATCTAGGTACATTATTTATAAGGCACTGACACCTTCAGCACAGTTAAGCAATGCGTTTGCCTTGGAATACTTTAATTATGAAGTCAGATAAGGCTAAGGTAGGTGTTCAATTGGTTTAAATACCAAATGAGTGATACAGATGAAGTGCTTGCTACAGGAGCTGGAATGGAATTCTTTGGGGAAGTACACATGAATGAGACTTTGAAAGATGTTGAACATTTTCTAAAAGAGAAACTAGTCAAATGATCAGATTTGGAAAAGGGATTGCTATAACAAGGGTCCTCGCTTTTAATTGCACTCTACCAAAATTATGTTAGTAGATTTTTAAAGGCTACCTCAATGATCTTTGATTCAGAAAAGTATGATTGGAGGGACTTCCATGTCCTTTGCAGGAAACACCATTCAGAACATCCTGATGTATTGAATTCCATCCTGTCCTAATCTCACATTGAAGATCCAATAATAGCAATAAAACAAAAAGTCACCTACATTATTTTTATCTTGCCTGCATATTTTGTAGGGATAGACAGGATTGCTCAGGTTCTATTCTTGCTAGCAACTCAAAGGAAGCAAGTACATGTTGATTTGACTTTATCTTTGATAGATTAACTTCATACTGTTATTTTCAAATGGCTTTAATCTACTCCCTTCAGCAAAGTTAACAGTACATTAGACCTTCCCATTTACCTAAGTTTAGGACCAATTTTTCAGACTGCCTTTACCTTATTCGAAACAATTTATTCATCTTGCCTCATCAGAATTGATTTCTCTAGCAATGTCTGGTTTTATTGGTAATCAGTGTAATATTAGGCTCCTCAGCAACCACCTTCCCTAAAAGCAATAGTTTTGTTACAAGTTTGATCTACTTTTCTCCCCTGGACTAAACTTAATGCCTTTGTACATATTTTCCAGTTCATCCATCATGATCTCAGAATTCTTTCATAAACAGTCTTTTACTGTCCTAAAAATTTGTTTATTAACATTTCCCAGAAAATAGTTGATGTAAGTTTAAAAAGGCGTTTACACTACCCATAATCTGCTTTTACAGGTTTGTAACCTGTCACCCATTATTCTATGAACCTTGCATTATAGCCCTATTTTCCATTCCCCAAATTTTATTTATAGCCTCTGTTGAGTCATTGTTTCCTCAATCTGGAGTGTCCTTACCTGCAACTTTTATGCAACCTTTACATTCGGTGTGAATGTTTGCTCAGCGCTGTTAAGCCTCTCCTAGACATCAATCCTTCCAATTTGATCCCATAACACTAAATATAAAACCTATTAAAGCACAGTCACATCTCATTTGGCTTGCACACTTTCCCTAAAACAACTCAGGGTCCCACATTAGGAGTGGTGGTTACAAATTTATTTCCCTTACCCCTACTTCATTAACCTCAAGCTTTTGTTTGCCAGCATTCAGTAATTGTTTGCCATCTTCACCTCTGTCTCTAAGTGATACATGAAAAGAAATGACAAGTTTAGTCGCTAAGGTAGTACCAGTGTCTACAGCAGATCCTGAAACATCGGGCACTCATTTTTAATGCCTATATCCTAGCCCACCTTTAATTTCAACATTATGTAACTAAAAGAATGTCTGGTGTTAACTCCATGTTTTAAAAATCCCTTTAGGTGGCTTTGAATCACATCCCCAACCCTTATTTTTTGAGTTTTGCTAAATTGTCTTCCCTAAGTTGTTGAGGCTGGCTTTGAACTTAGGATCCTCCTGCCTCAGCCATCTCCTGCTTGGCCATCATGCCCAGCTCACATGACATCTACATGGGC